AAGAACTTACACATCGAAACGAGGAGGAATGCAGTTAGGAGCTTCAAGAGCACCATTGCAGTATCTTTCGCAGGTGATTTGAGCGAGAGCGACAGCGCAGAGAGCAGAGAGGAGAAGGAAGAGCTTCATCTTTCGATATGTTACATCTCATCCACCTCCTGTATTTATAGTCTTCAGGATGTTCCTCTTTCTCAATATGGGAAGATCAACGAGATTGAATAGTTTCGATATGATGTAAAGACTATTGATATCCATTGTCAGGATCAATGGGGAGACGTAGCTGTTAGGAGAGTGCATGAAGGATCTCCTGTTGTGATCCATTCATATTTTTTTCTAATATTTCACTGAGTATTCTTGAATAGAAGGACATGATACTGTACACAACATCATTAAGATCACGTTCCATTTCCCTTTTTCAACCTTACTTTCATTATTCTGATAATACACCTGATTGTAACTGTCGCTGGTAACATATACACTGGGAATCTGGTTACATGCAGCTCAGCGGATCGAAACAGTGTGAGTATCTAAAATACTTTCAAAAAATACATATTTTTTTCAGCGCAATGCAATTTCAAACTTTTGAAAATCTGTTTCTGTTTTGATTGTTGTTTCATCGACGATCTCTGTCTATGCCTTCGAAGTAGTTGAGAGAGGTTGTGTGTTCTTGATCCCGTTATTGTTGTTTTTATTTTCAAAGTATTTTGAGAGAGTTCTATGATAAAAGTCTCTCTCACATTGAATTGCTCTGTCCGGTCGAAAATATTCTCAATTGTTGAAATTTCTATGTTAGATTAGCGAGTACGTTTGTCTGTATTAGTGGATACCCAAGTAGTTGAGTTTTTTTATATGATAGGAGGAGCTTTTGTTCTGGTCGGATTAGGATGGAATGCAACCGTTCTGGGCGTTTTGGAGTAGGATGCAACCGTTCTCCACGGCTTGGGTTGGAACTTGGCCGTTTGGGGCGGTTTGGGGTAGAATGAAACCGTTCCGAACGGTTTGGCGAGCCAATGAGCTTCCCTCTTCTCTGGACCTCCAGAGAGAGATAGGAGTGGAGCTCACCGGCTCACACCACCAACTGACGTGATTCGGCTGCTCCACAGCTTATATACCGCCGCGCAAACACGCCACGTGAAAATAATTTTTACGTGAAAAAAAATGACCCGGTCGTTCTCTTTTGGGGGAAGCGATGAAACTTGGCTCAAAGTTCATGAAATCGGGTGTTTTTGGGGTTATTTCAGATCAAATTTTCATTTTAAACTCGAATATCTTGTTCATTTATCGTTTTAGAAACAAAATTTCATGAAAAAAACCCTAAAGTTCACTTCGAAATCACATGAAAAGCAGAATTCATGGAAGATTCGGCATATCGGCTAACAATATGTGCTCCATTGCGAATTGTTGATTCAATTCAATCAATAAACAAAGAAAAAACAATTATTTATATTTATTATTTTATAATTTTGAAGATTTCTTCTTGGTTTATTTCATTTTTCTTTTGTCTTAGAAGGGTTTCAGTTGAGTTGAGAGGTTTTCATTTTGAAACAAAAAAATGAAAACCCGGTTGTTCCCTCTTGGAAAGGAGTTCAACTGAGTTCTTAAGAGTCTGAAGTCTCTTAGTGAGCTCTTGTTATCATCTGTGCTTGCGTCAGATTTGTTTTTTCTTCCTCTCTTTCATTTAAAGGTAATTGATTGATTACTTGTCAGAGTTCTTATGTGTGCCCTTCATTTCCTTCCACATTGATCTTCTTTTTTACGGTTTGATTATCCCACCCATGATATTCAAGTTCAATGCACTTCTACTTCTGCTGTGTCATGTTGTTACTTGCTCTTCAAGCCTGTTCATACTTCTCCCCCTCTTGTTGAAACCGTACTGGACGGTTCAGGTGGAAGCAACCTTTCGGTGCATTCTTTGTAGTTAGTTGTTATAGTCTGAGCTCCATTACTTCCTTCGTTTTCATCGATTTCTCCCTGTTACTCCTACTATCGTTAACTTACTG